CGGAGGGAGAGAGAATCTCAAGCAGGCTCCGCACTGTCAGTACAGAGCCCCATGCAGAGCTTGAACTCACAAACTGTGATACCATGACCTGAGCCAAAACCAAGAGTCGAATGCCCAATTGACTGAACCATTTAGGCGCCCCCTGGTAATTTTTAATTAGATGTCAGACATTGTTAATTTTACTTACTTGATTCTGGTATTTTGTCATCTTTAAAGAGCTTTGTTTTGGGAGATGGTTGTTTCTTAGAAGCAGCTTTTGAGGCTTGCTTTTTAAACTTTGTGAAATGGGACCACAACAGCCTTTAGTTTAGGGCTGATTTCACCCCACTACTGAGGCATACGCTCCTGAGTAGTCTACCCCGTGCCCTGCATATTGCAGGTTTTTCCGCTTGGGACAGTGGGAACACAAACTAACCCTGGCCCTGCATGTGCTGCTGGGATTAGTTGGGCCTCCTCTTTTCAGGTGGTTCTTTCCTGGCCTCCAGTATTTCCCACACTCCTGTACTGATCGCAGGACTCAAGTGAGGAACTGAGGGGAATCCTCTGTAGATCTGCAGAGTGCTTCTCTCTGTGCACCTGTCTCCTCCCAGTACTCTGTCCTGCTAATTCTAGCATTTCTTGGGTAGTTAGATGTGGGTGAGCACACCAAGTATCCTGTGTCTGAAATATCATTGTGAGGTATGGGCTAGAGAACAAATTCATGTCCGCAGCATATAAGTTGATGTTGAAGTTAGAGAATTTCTAAAAATGGAGTGACTGGAAAGAGAATAGAAGGAAATGGGGAAAATATCAGGAGGAAGCAAGGAAGTAGAAACTTTTAACATGAAAGGAAAAGAGGAATAAATTGTGTTGTTTTGCAGAAGAGATGTATAGTAAGGTAGGATTGAGAAATAATTAAATAATTAACCCAGATTGGATATGTCCTTTATTATATACTGCTAGATTCAATTTGCTAATATTTTTTGCCTCTGGGATCATTAATAAGCTTTTCCTATAATTTTCCTTTTGTCATATTTCTCCTTATTTTTGGTATCAAGCTTAGGGTACTTGTATTAAAGGAGAATATTCCCCTCTTTTCTGACATCTGGAGTATTTTGTGTGTAATTAGAATTAGTTTTTCTTTGGATATTGCTAGAACTCATGGTAAAACTGTTTAGGCTAGTTAATGGATATAGGTGTATCTCGTGTGTGTGTGTGTGTGTGTATGTGTGTATGTTTACTACTTATTTTTAGTAAAAGAGAGCGCATGTGTGCAGGGGAGGGGCAGAGAGAGAGGGAAACAGAGAATCTCAAGGAGGCTCCACACTGTCAGCAGAGCCGGACATAGGTCTTGAGTTTATAAACCACGAGTTCATGACCTGAGCCGAAATCAAGAGTCAGATGCTTAACTGACTGAGCCACCCAGTATTCCTAGGTTTCTCTATTTAATAATAGTAGCTATACTTGTATTCTAATTTCAGATAAGTCTTTTCTTTTCATTCTCCTAACAACCTTGGGAGCTAGACAACCCAGCTCTCTCTCTTTTTTAAATGTTTATTTATTTATTTTTGAGACAACACAAGCAGGGATGGGGCAGAGAGAGAGGGGGAGACAGAATCCAAAGCAAGCTCCAGAGCCTGACGCAGGGCTCGAACTCCTGAACCGTGAGATCGTGACCTGAGCCCAAGTCGGACTCTTAACCGACTGAGCCACCCAGGCGCCCCCAAGCCTCAGGTCTCTTTTATTTCACAGATAAGGAAGGAAGGTAACATACCAAGAATGCAGTAGGTGCCAGGCCTTGTCACTGCTGGTCAATGACGGACACTGGCCTTTCTCTGCCCAGTTTGCTACTCTTTCTCCGCAACCAGGTGTGAAATACTAATGTCACAACATCTTAGAAGTGGGAGGCATGTTGGGAGATTTTCTGGTTAAGGACCATGCCAGGGGTGGTCTGTGGACCTGTGCAGGTCTTCAAACTGCTGCTTCCTGGTCCGCAACAAGATAAGCCTGGAAATTCCTTATAAGCTTTGAATACTTTTGTAATGCTGGAACCCGCCTCAACATCCAGGTGCTTCTCTCCATTCACTGTACACTTGAGAACTGCTGGGCTAGTCTCTCCTCCCTGCTATAATATAATGGAGTCTTTTCAAATAACAGCTTTGGCAAATGATTATCTACCTGAGCTTTACTTTCCCTTTAAGACTTGTTGTTTCTCCTCTCTTTTTTCTATTAATAGCCCTTCCATTCTCCTAGTTATGCAAGTTCAAAGTCATTGAGTCATTATTGGTTTTCTTATCCTTTATATCCAGTCACCAAATTGAGTTAATTCTTTTATGATAATGGCCCTTATATGCCTTGTTCTTTCTATTATCTCTGTGCCCTTTTACGTACAGTGACTCCCTTGTCCTTCAGTTGCTGGTTTTGGGCTATGAAATCTGTACTCCTTCCCTAACTGTGTTCCTGTTTATCATGTCCAACGGTTTTCCCACTGCTGCCTTTGATACCTCATCTGTACTTTAAATTCTTTACGTCTGAAATGAATTTATGTCCTGCCCTGGATCTGCTCTTGTTCCTGTGCCCTGGTCTTCGGTGATGGAAACTGCCATGGGATTCTCGTCCCTTCCATCTACCTGTCCCAGTTGACAAGGTCTGCCTTTTATATATGCGGGTTACCTCTCCTCTTCTGCATTCCTGCTGTGTCACCCCGGCGTGGGTTCTTGTTACCTGTTACCTGGAGTTTCAGAATCATTTGCTCCCTGCCCTTTCCCCCAGTCTCTTCCTCATTTCCGTCTGCTGATGGTGTCATCTTTCTCGCACCCAGCTGTTCCTGTTACCGATTTTCTTCAAACTCTATGAGGGTCTTCACTGCCTGTAGAATAAAAGTGAAAGCCTTTCATCTGGTGTTTAGTTTAGGTTCAGAAAGTTTACCGTTCCCGCCATCACTCCCCTATGTACCGCACACCTTAGCAAAAGCTAGCTAGTTAGTACTTACTGTTCCCCATCCTGTCCATCTTCAAAGCCTGGCCTGTATTCCTTTATCTTTGTGAGGTGCCCTTTTTCTTCTCTTTAAATTCTGCCCTTTCTTTATGGTTCAGCTCTGTTGACATCTCCTCTATGAAGCCTCTTATCCAGGGGTGCTTGGGTGGCTCAGTTAGTTAAGCATCTGACTCTTGATTTTGGCTCAGGTCATGATCTCAGGGTTCATGAGATTGAGCCCCCACATTGGGCTCCTTGCTGACAGCACAGAGCCTGCTTGGGATTCTCGCTGTCTCGCCACCTCTCTCAAAATAAATAAATAAATAAATGAATAAATAAGCAAGCAAGCAAGCATTTATAAACAAAAAAACGAAGCCTCTGATCCAGCATACTTGCTAGTGAACTTCAGTGGCACTTGAGCCATATCTGTAACTCTCTCTGTCACTTATTGTTCTCTGCCTCATGTTAAGGATATTAATAGCACCTACTGGCTCAACTAGAGCTCCCGCATGAAATCCTGCTGTGGGACTTTGGGAAGAATTCAGAATAAAGATTCCTAGGCCCCATTCCATGGAAATTCTGGTTCAGTAGATCTAGTGTAGGTCTTGGGATCTCAAATTGTGAGAAGCTCCTAGATTTTTCTAACTTAAGGTCAGGTATTTGAATCATTGGTCAGCCTGCCCCACTGTTCTAGTTATTGATTCGATCGTCTTTTGAATTGTTTAACTTTGGGTATGTGCTCATCCTATCTAAACCGCATTGAGAATTGCTTACATTTTTTTTCTCCTCTGTGGTACTCAACATAATAGACACATAGCAAAGTTGAGTGTTGAATAAATGAAAAGATTGAATAAGATCCTTCAATTGGTATATTTGTAGTAGAGACTATACCGAAGAGAACTTGTTTCTTAGGACTTACTTCTTAGACTGGAAATTTGCGAAGTAGCCACTTACGGACTATTTTGAAACGAAAGGGAATGATATCACTTAGGAAGTTAAGAGAAGCCAAGCAATGATTTACAGAAGATCAGTAAAATAATAAATAGTCTGTAGTATCACATACGCGCTGTTTGAAGAAGGTAAAGTAACCTGGGTCAGTTTTCGAGTCTGGTGTGCATTATTCCTAAGAGTAAAAGGTGAGATTACATTTGTTCCATAGAAAAGTGACCTTTTTAACCTCACCAGGGTAGACACTGCCCGCCTACCACAGCACTCTTGTTGAGTCTCGATGTGGCCTCAGCATCCTTTTCAAGGTTGCAGGCTAGTGGGGGTCCACTGGCCGCTCGAAATTACCATCATGACAGAAAAACCTCTGTGTAATCCATGATACGTGAAATGTTGTTTAGGATATCTTCTGTGGTTAAAAAGGTAAAATGAAAAATACTGTGGAATGGTTGTGATCCCTGCAATCAAAATTCTTTAAGTGCTTAGCAAGAAAAGAGTAGTTAAAACCAGCACACATAAAAGGGCAGCTCTTCGAGGAGGTGCTGCAGGAATTCACTGCTCTATTTCTGGTATGACCTATCTTTTATGAAATTTGCTGAGTGTTTCCTCATAACTGCCGTGTCATTTACTCAGACTTTTAGTAAGCAAAGGTAACATGATTTTCTTCCCAAGAATCCCAAGAACCCCAAGTCACCTGAAATTTAGAAGACAATGATGCATGAAGTGTCTAACGAGGAGATGCTAAGAAGGTTCTGAAAGCGTTGGGTTGTCTCTGCTGCCTTACTTGTTGTCGAAATACGGTACTTTCCAGCTCTCCTGGATTTCTCATCCTCTAATTTTGTTAAGCATATGCTCACCTGCCACGGATTTTACCCCATGTCGGCCAGCTTCTTGACGTGCTTTTCCCCTCTCCAATGAGCCTCACACTTAATCAGGTTTTCACTTCTCTCCCTGCGCTTTCCAGGTCAGATGACGATGATACGGAGAGTAGGAGCTCCAGGGTGACCCAACTTTGCACTTACTTTCAGCAGAAATATAAGCACCTCTGCCGCCTGGAGCGGGCAGAATCTCGTCAAAAGAAATGCCGGCACACGTTTAGGAAAGCCTTGCTGCAGGCGGCCAGCAGAGAACCCGAGTGTACCGGTCAGTTAATCCAGGAACTGCAGAGAGCTGCGTGCAGCCGAACCAGGTTAGAGCCCTAGGCAGCCACCTGTTTGTAAGGAACTCGTCTCTGTCTGGCTTCTGTATTTTGTTGAGTGGATAGCGGAGACACAGTGGGCAGTGGGCATTTAAACCTGAAATGTCGAAGCATTGCACCTTGGTTTAGTTGCTCAGAGAGTTGTACAGGTGGCAACATAACAGCACCACGAGCTGACAGTAGAAGCATTGCTGTGTTTCCGCCAGATGAATTTATGTAGTGAAGTATTGGAGAGTGCCACCTGTCTTTACAAAAATAACGGTGCTTTCAAATTTCATGTATTATTTAGAAGTAGGGTTTATGGGTTTTTTTTTAACCACGAAAGTAGCATTTTACATATTTTACTTCTTATTTAAAAATTTTCTTTCTCACATATTATGTCTTCAAAATACTTTATTCCATTGCATTTCTTTTAGGGAAAATCTCTTTTCTGTTTCTAGTCCAGGTAATTGCTTTGTAAATTTGAAAAATGTAGAAAAAAGAAGGGGAAATTTTCCACAATATCACCATGCAGAAAACAAAGAATGAGCACTGTAAATATTTTGGTTGTTTCCTTCTAGTCTTTTCTTCTGCTTGTGTGTACACATGTGTGTGTTTGCGTGTGTATGAAGTCTCCAGGGAGCCATGCATTTGTATTAAAAAGGAAAAATGAGATCATGCTATATGTATATTTTATTTCCTGCTTTTTTCCCCACTTAACATTGAATTATTGCCATTTTCTCCTGATGTTCTTTAAAACACGATTTTTAATGACTTCATAATTAGTCTTTGGACTCCTTAAATTTTAAGTATGTATTTAAAGCAACATTGGATCCATACTGCTTAAGAGTTATGTGTCCAGTTTTTTCCCTTAAGAATATATCCTAGCCATTCCCTTGTGTTCTTAAAAATTATTTTGAAAACATGATTTATAATGTGTGATACTATTTTTAAATGAAAATCCATATATTGGAAATGTAGAGCTATCTGATATTTCAGTGAAGAAATTGTAGTATTATTACCATTTTGGAAATTAGTTTAGGTGGTGAAAACTTAATTGTAATTACTTATTTAGGTTATGTACCTTTTGAAACTACTAGCTTAATTGAATTAAAAGTTTCCAAAATATCTTCATATTTAATTAAGGAAATAATTTTCAAATTTAGAAGGCACAGTTCTAGATTGAGTTTATTATTTCACACTTTTTACTTGTTTTTTTCAGATAACAACCTTGAGAGAGACACACACACACACACACACACACACTTTTAGGAGTTTTATGCCAAAATATTAGCAGTGGCTATCTCAGAGGGTAGGATTATTGATAAAGTTTGAAAGAAATTATAGTCTATATATTCCAATTTTTCTCTAATGCTCATAAGTCACTGAGGAAATAGGGGTTTAAAACAGACCAAACTAAGAAAAATAACCTTTGATTTTCAGCTACTGATCATATTTCTTACATATCTATATATTTTTTAGTTTTGTGTATTTTGGTTTTCATTATATTTGCTATTAAAAAAAACAACAACTACTTTTTAATGGCATCTATCCAAAAGATAACTATACCCTTCAGAGTTTTCTGCTTCTTGACATATTTAGAGTTGTTTGAAAGCTTGTATGTCTAGTTAATAAACCTACGTAATGATTGCTGCCTCCAGTATTCTCCCTCACTCACAGTTCCTGCTCCTCTGTAGGGGCGGGGGTAGGTAGTGTCCGTTCTGTAACATTCGTCAGGTCCTCGCTTACTGACTTAGCCTTCTCGGAGAGAAATTCCCATGTTCCACTGACTGTGTTTGGTCCCCCTGTTACATGTGCTTATTGAGCTCTGCTTCATTGTAGAATTGTATACAATGTCAGACGGTAATTTTTGTGAGGGCAGGAACAATGTACGTTTTGTTTTTAAATCTCTAGTGTTGAACAGATGAATAGAATTAAACATGCCTGTTCTCTATTTGTTGAAAGAATTCACTTGGTTTGACATAGGTTTAAAATAACGCTATCTAACATTTACATAATGCTTGGCAACCGTATCATTTCAGTAGAAACTTTAGTTTCGTCCAGCATGAAGCAGTTTGTATGTAGAGCACTGTATACTTTGAATCTAGTATGTTATTATGACCTTGTCAAAGATGTAAGGGACTGTACTCGGAGTTTGGGACAATTTAGTATTTGTGTAGAAAACTATTTATCTATGATTTTTAGCTGGTAGACTCTAGGTCCCCCCGACCGCTTTTTTTCAGAAAAGTTCCCAAACCACTGTAAGTGATGTTTTAAAAACGTCATGATAACTAAATATTACTAAACAAATACCAAGACGCCTTTTGGTTATGTCACTAAAGATTAGTAAAAAGTCTGTTGCCCAGTGCATCACTGGTACTCCTTTAGCAATGAGCCATAATCATTTGTTGGCGATTGGTAACTTGCTAGTTTACATTATATTTTAGGTTCACAAAAATCAGTGTCAGTTGGATAATGCCCTCTATTTGATATTTTTGCTTTCAAAGACCAGTTCCACAAAAGAGATTTAAAAAGTCGCTTTTAAAATATTTTAGAAATTAAAACTTTAGTGGCTGCCTTTTAATAGGTAGCCTTTTAAAATATAGCTTGGATATAAGCTGAATAACATTATTCTTTAAAAAAAATTTAAAATTTTTTTTTTCCACGTTTATTTATTTTTGGGAGAGAGAGAGACAGAGCATGAACGGGGGAGGGGCAGAGAGAGAGGGAGACACAGAATCGGAAACAGGCTCCAGGCTCTGAGCCATCAGCCCAGAGCCTGACGCGGGGCTCGAACTCCCGGACCACGAGATCGTGAACTGGCTGAAGTCGGACGCTCAACCGACTGCGCCACCCAGGCGCCCCTAAAAAAAATTTTTTTTAATGTTTATTTTTGAGAGAGAGAGAGGGAGGGAGGGAGGGAACATGAGTGAGGGTGAGGGCAGAAAGTGGGAGACATAGAAACTGAAGCAGGCTCCCGGCTCTGAGCTGTCAGCACAGAGCCCGACGTGGGGCTTGAACTCATGAACCGTGAGATCATGACCTGAGCTGAAGTCAGCCGCCCAACCAACTAAGCCACCCAGGTGCCCCTGAATAACATTATTCTTTCTCATTTAATAACTTTGTCATATATGGTGGTGAATATGTGGAATAAGCCACTGAAATAGCTTTTAAAGTATGTAAACTCTAATTGAACTACCTTGTAGCCACAATAGAGAGACTAGTGCTGTTTGTGTAGAAACTATTGTTAAAGGGGCATCTAATCACACAAAAGAGAAGCTTGTAGTGAGTGTTTTCATATTAAAAACATCAATGGGAATGCAAGCTGGTGCAACCACTCTGGAAAACAGTATGGGGGTTCCTCAAAAA